CCCCTTTGGGTCAGTCTCGTGCACTGGCCGAGAAGAGGTTGCTTTCCATGGAGCACCGCATGCGGCGCGACCCAGCCTTTCGCGACAAATATGTCGAGTTCATGCGCGAGTATCAAGAGCTGGGTCAAATGTCACCGTCCAACTTCGAATGGCGTTCACAGGAGCACTAATTCCTCCCTCACCATGCGGTCTTGAGGACCCCTGAAAGTAAGATTTGGGTAGTTTATGACGGCTCCGCCCCCACGTCAAATGGTGTGTCCCTGAACCAGTGTGTTCACTCTGGTCCTAAACTAATCAAGGACATATCCGACATTTTGACCCAATTCCGTCGACACCAAGTGGTTTTTGTAGCCGACATTCGGATGATGTTTCGACAATCAGTGGCCCATCGTGATGACCGATATCAGCTTATATTGTGGCGCGAGAAGCCCAGCGATCCGATACAGGTGTTTGAGTTGAACACCACCACCTATGGACTCCGGTCCAGCCCGTATATCGCCATGCAAACCCCCCTTGAACTCGCTGAGCGAGAGCGCCTAAGATACGCTCGGGGAGCTTCTATTTTGGAGACTTCTGTCTGCATGGACGACATTTGTACGGGCGCCTCCACCGTCGAGGAGGCTCTTGTCTTGCGAGACGAATTAATTGCCATCCTGAAGTCCGGAGGTTATGAGTTGAGCAAATGGTTGTCGAACTCCCCTCATATTTTGAAGGACCTCCCAGGAGAGGATCAACAAGACCCTCGTCTATTCGAGCACCCTGAAAATCCTAATTTATTGACTGTGCTGGGCATTCAATATCAGCCTGTTCAGGATACCTTCACGTATCGAATAAAACTCGATCCCCCTCCCAAAGCATGGACTAAGCGCTCCGTGCTGTCTACAGTAGCCCGCACCTTCGACCCTAATGGATGGATTACCCTGGTCATCTTTTTGGCTAAGTGCTTTCTTCAAAAGCTCTGGATATCCGGGTTGGGTTGGGACGAGCCTATTAGCGGAACCCTCTTGCGAGAGCGGCTCTCCATAGTCTCCTCCCTCCCGGACATCAACCGGGTCTCCATGCCAAGGTGCTTCCTCCCTCCAGGGAAATGCAGGGCTACCCTACATGGGTTCTGCTGTCGTATATTTGCGGACTGTGAGCTCTTCTGGTCATACTGCAGTCCATCTCGTACTTGCTAAAAGCAAGGTTGCTCCCATTAGGTCCCGCTTAACTATCCCTAAATTGGAACTGTCCGGAGTCGCTCTTCTCACGCGACTCCTCAACCACGTTCACTCGTCTTTGACGGCTGTAATAGACATTACGGACGTCTACGCTTGGTCGGACAGTGAGATAGTACTTTGTTGGCTCAGAGCTGCACCTCACAATCTTGAGGTCTTTGTGGCGAACCGCGTGTCTCAAATCAAGTATTCTGAGACTTTTGTCAACTGGAGACATGTTCCAGGGGAGTTGAATCCTGCAGACTGCGCTTCTCGCAGCTGTGAAGCCCCTTCGTTGGTTAACCACCCGCTGTGGTGGGTCCCAGTTGGTTGACTGAGTCTCAGTCATTCTGGCCCCAGGGTAATTACTCCGAACCGATTGAATTGCCTGGCTTACGAGCCCGAGAAGGAGTAGGCAAGGATAAGCCCACTCGGGATCTCTCTCTTCTAGAACGGTACAGCTCACTCGATAAGCTCTTATGAGTGATTGCTTGGTTGCGCCGATTTGTCCGCAATTCGAGAGACCCATCCCACCGAATCTTTGATTTCGTTTCGTCCCGAGCGTCGTGAAGCTTTGATGCATTGGACCCGTATGGTCCAAGCGGAGCATTTTGAGCCCGTGATTGAAAATTTGAAGCGGGGCTCCGTTGTCAAGGGCGCTCTGGCCCGTCTAAACCTCTTCCTGGATGACGCTGGGATGCTGCGCGTTGGTGGACGTTTGAGAAATTCCCAACTGCCGTACGGGTCTCGACACCCGTTACTGCTCCCCAAGGACGGCGCCTTTGTCCGGTTGCTGGTAACCCACCATCATATTAAGAACGCCCCCGCTGGGTGTAACGCTCTTTCAGCTATTCTGCAGTGGGAGTTTTGGATTTTGGCTGGCCGACGCACCATTCGGAGCGTCATCTTTAAATGCATATCTTGTTATAAACTGAAGGCCACCATATCGCAGCCTATGATGGGTGACTTGCCACCCGCCCGCGTCAGGGCCATCCGACCATTCGCTGGAGTCGGAACAGACTTTGCTGGCCCCTTCCTCGTCAAGTCCTCTAACCTTCGTAACGCGCGTTCACATAAGGCCTATCTTTGCGTCTTCGTGTGCCTCTCCACTAAGGCCGTTCACTTAGAACTTGTAAGTGCCCTCAGCACGGAAGCCTTCTTGGCCACGCTGGGCCGTTTCGTATCGCGGCGCGGTTTGCCGGACCTGATCCGGTCTGATTGCGGAACGAATTATAAGGGCACGGATAGATATTTGAAAGAGGTCGTCGAATTTCTGTCCAGTAACAGGGCTTATTTAGGTAATGCGGAAATTCTACCCTCCGGCTTGTCCACACTGGGGCGGTATTTTTGAGGCGGTGGTTAAGGTTGCAAAAAGGCAACTCCGTCGCGTTATTGGCGAAACTATAATGACATTTGAGGAGCTCGCCACTGTATTCTGTAAAATTGACGCGGTACTCAACTCTCGGCCCCTCTGTCCCCTCTCGTCCAATCCGAATGATTTGGAGGTTCTAACACCGGGACACTTCCTGATTGGCCAGCCGCTTAACGCCCTGCCCGAGTACCCCTTCAGGAAAACGAAGTCTTCGCGGTTGAGCAGGTTTGACCTGCTGCAACAGATGACTCAGAGTTTTTGGCACCGATGGTCTCTGGAGTACCTATAACTTTTGCAGCAGCGTATTAAGTGGTCTGACAAGACGAATCCTCCTCGGGTTGGAGACCTCGTGTTGGTTAAAGAACCCTACGCTCTGCCTTTGTATTGGCGCCGTGGGCGCATTGTTAAGTCATCGTATGGATCGGATGGGGTGCCTAGGGTGGCCGAGGTTTTGGTCGGAGATTCGGTCTTGCAACGTGCCGTCGCGACGTTGTTCCGTTTGCCAATCTACTCGCGGACATAATTCCTTATGTCCGGGGCAGGGGTTTGTTTAGGCAAAATATTAACCATTTGAAAATTGAATTCTTAACGCACGTTTGAAGCGCATAGCACCGTAGCAAGGTCACACCGCCCTCCGCCCGCTCGCATTCCATTCTCTAAAAATCTGCCGATCGTAACGGACGTTTGTTTTTTTTTTGCTGTAAGTCGACTCGAGCTATCGTACCTCGGATAGTGTCGTATTTTTTGTTAGCAAATTCGTGCAATGACGAGGAAATGTCTAGTAATAGTCTAGGATATTACACGCCGGGTGTCTAATTATTGTGAAGTTAATGCAATTGCACCGTTTTGTTAAGTGCCTCAAGGAGTCGCGTTCGCTGTTCGAAGTAATTTGCCGTGGAGCGAACCAAGGTGAACTTTGTACCACTGTCGTCGGTCGCGCCACGTGTTGGGTCTTTGAATGTGATTAACGGAATTTAGTTCTCTCTTTGAAGTTAGTTAAATGTACAATAACGTGGATAAATTGACCTAGTGCCTTGAAGAAAGAAATTGCCACCGGGGACGCCGCAGGAGAATACCACCTCCGGGGCAGCATCGTGCCATCTGGTTCAGGCCACCTAAACACACACACTCACAAACACCACTTACATGCACTTACCTTCAGCCTGACCGATCCTGGTGACCAGTCTCCGCTTCTGAAGCAGGTACGTACTATTAGTTATCTAGGATTATCTATTGTGTAGGTCATTTTACCATAAGGCATCGGCCCCACACTTGGTCGTCCGTCGGATCTCCCGCTTATGAGCCCCGAGAGAATCGACCTTGGTTGGACGGCTAGGTGCGTGTACAATTACTATAATAAGTTTTTAAATCATGGATTGTTATGAATGGATTGGCTAAACATGATAACATTTTTTTTTGTGTTGAAGTCATCTAGCGTCTTTTCTACGTACTACCATGAGAGTTAATTAATTTTGTTTCGATTAATGACTACCTATACCTATAAAATAAAATTACATAAAAAATAGACATGGCTTAACATTGCTGTGTTTCGTATGGTGAGTACAGGGAACCGGAGACCCTTTTTACTGGAAAAGAGGCAATCCATCTTAGTCCTCACGGGTGACCACGCATCTGCATTTGGATTCGCAAACGAAGATAGATGTAGATGTCTATGGGCCACAGCAACCACTAACCATCAGGTGGAATGTGTACACGTTTGTGACTCTATCCTATAAAAAAAGACAATTACCTAATTAACAAAATAAACCGATAATTTCTCTTCTTAAGATCGAAGATGATGATACACTGTGACACATATTATGTATTTAATTTTATGTAAATAAATGAACGACATACACAATTTATGCTATTCAAAAGTAATTTCATTCAAGAGTACCTACCTTTAACCGACGAGCGTGTATGCGTAGGTATATGAATGTGGAGGAAGCGAGAGAGGTGTGTCAGGATCGTGCCAAATGGAAGTCCATAATCTCTGCCTACCCCTCTGGGTGACAGGCGTGAGTGTTTATGTTATGTTATGTCAAAAGTCATTTATGAATAATTAAAATGTATCCTTGTATTACGAAAGTTTCACTTCTATCGTATGTCTTCAAGACACCTTAATGATATGAAGATCTCCACTATCCACTAAAATTTTATGATGATCTCTGTAAACAGAATGAATGTATTTCGAATAAATTGGCTGTATGGTCACAAATCCCTTCATCCCTTAACCGCTAAATCTTTAAAAGCACAATTCGTGTGTTTTGACTTTTTAACTTTGACTTTGACATAATGCTAACTTAGAATATTTACTCGAAATGTTACGTTAGGATTTTAGATTTTATAAAATAAGATTTATAATTTAAATTCATTTAAATATTATTAATAGGTTAGATACATTTGATTATAGGGTTTTTATTATTAACATTATGATATCCAGGAAAGGACAAAAGGCAATTAATGAAGGGGTGGTTGGTAAATACGTGAAAAAGGAAACACCTCCAGATCTCCCGAGTATGTTAATGTTTAAAAGATAGTTTCATGTTTTTATGTTAACAGACCTTCACTACGGTCTTAAGTTGTCGGAGCACCATGTTGTGACCTTATTATATATGTTTTTTATTATACAGTAATTAATGTCTGGACTACGGGAAACAATCGAAGACCTCGCAGTCAGCCATTCGGAGCGAGTGATGGAAGTTCCCAGATTATGGAAAATAAATTTGGTAAAGCTCAAACTATGAGTGGTCATGCAGGGAAATATACACCAAGTGAATCAGTACCAAATTTAGCACACAGGTATTTTTCAATGATTATTTACAAAGCTGTTACTATGATATATTTTTTAAATTAAAATACCTTTTTTCAAATATAGAACTTTTAACACTAAAGACTAATTTAAATTTAATCTTCAAATTACTATCTACAGTATGTTGTGTAGTTTTAAGTTTAATCCACTTTGTTAGATTGAGGCTGAGTCATATAATGAGTTCAATAAAATAATAATAACAACTATTCAGGGTGGGCTATAGAAATCCGGTACTTGATTTTAATTGTTTTCAGTTTAGAAGGTTTGTTAGGGATAAGCTTGAACCTTTTACACTGTTTTTGGATGTTGGAAATATCTTTTGAATTATGATAAAAATAAATTTCACTAAAAATTTTGTATAATGAAACGCAAATATGACAATATCATCTAGTATTATGAAGTAGGCATCTGGTACTTGATTTTAATTATGTTTTAAGTTTAGGAGGCTTGTCAGGGTTAAGTTTAAATCTTTTACACTGTATTTGGAATTTGGATTTCGGGAATGCGTGTTGAATTAATTATGATAAAAATTAACTTCACTACAAATTGAGTATCATCATCATAATCATTACAGCCCTTCACAAGTCCACTGCTGAACATAGGCCTCCCTCAAGGAATGCCACAAAGCACGGTCCTGAGCCACATAATGTCGGATAAGACTCGCTCTTGGATCGTTACTCACACTTGCGTGTGGTTCCAACGATGATCTGTACAGCTGCCCATAGAACCTCTCAATCTCACTCAAAATCTCAGGTGTCCCGGAAATGACTGCCACACTCGGTCTTCAGCTTCGACAGTTGGCTCTTTCTGGCAGACAGATCTCTAGCAAAGACTTTGGAGCCCTGGTTCTGCTCGATCGCTTCTTCAATACGAGCAGCATTAAAGTTGCGTAAGTCCTGCCGCATGCATTTGGAGATCTGTCTGTTCAGTTGCCTGTATGCTGCTAAATCTACTGAAGACTGCAGCTTCATATCCCGTCTAACAGCCATGAGATTAAGAGTGTGATCGGAGAGTTTTTGTGTTCTTCTGCGGCGGGTCTTACAGAACTTAGCTCCGACCGCATGGACAGTTTCCACGAGCTTGTCATTCATATCGTCCACTTGTTGCAGTCTTCTAGGTACTGAAAACGGTTTTGTAACTCGAGCTGAAAGGTTTCGGGACTTTGGAACAGAGCATGAGGGGGACGGAGCGTAGACTTCATTAGACGAGACCTCTCCAACTTAACGTTTAGGTTCAGTGTGCCTCTAACCATTCGGTGATCGCTACCAATTTTCACCCTCGCGATCACGGAGACATCACTGAACAGTTGTCGTCTGGTCGTCATAATGAAGTCAATCTCATTTTTTGTCGAACTGTCGGGACTCGACCAGGTCCACTTCCTGTGGGGCCGCTTCTGGAAGAAAGAGTTCATCATAAAGAGTCCCTCTTTCTCCATGAAGTCGGCCAGCTGCTGGCCCCTTGGGTTCCGTTGCCCTATTCGGAATTTCCCTACTTTCAGCTCAACATTCTCTCTTGTGCCTAGTTTTGCGTTGAACTCTCCCATTAACACCGTATAGTGGGTTTTGGAGGAATGCATGGCTCTAGAGATATCCTCATACATTTCCTCCTCCTCCTCATCGGGGTGTGCCGAGGTTGGTGCGTAAACCTGTATGACCTTCAGCGAATATCGTTTGGTGATTCTGAGTATAAGGCACGCAACCCTCGTCGACGCACTCCCAATTTCTACAACGTTGTTAACGAGAGACTTGTGGACGATAAATCCGACACCTCCTTGGGACAGATGGTCGCCCTCCCGGTGATAGAACAAGTTGCCGGGTTCGAGGATTACCATGTCCTCCCCCTCTCTTTGGACCTCGGATAATTCTATGATATTCCAGCGCAACTTGTCTATTTCTTCTTCCAGCTCCAGGATCTTCTCGTTAGTCCTCAGGGTGCGTGCGTTATAAGTGGCCAGGTCGAGTCGTCGTAGGTGGCAACCGAACCTCTACCGGAGATTCTTAGCACCCACTGCCCCGCCGTTACTATGGTCGCCATCGTAGCCAGGAATAGCGGGGCCGCCGAGGACTGGGGGCCGTCTCTTTGTTACTCTCATCATTTGGGGGTTATGCCATAGTTGCCACTCTTGGCAAGCGGTTTGGCAACCGCAGTTTTTTTATTGTAATTTTGTTGTTATCAGGAAGATGCTTCTGCCCATCTCCTGCCTGTTTCCCTTTGTCGCCTTTTACGACACCCACGGGAAGATATGGGGTAGTAGATATTCTCAACCGTCACTACACGGCCACTACAAATTGCGTATAACGAAAAGCAAATATGTCAATTTGATCAAGTATTATGAAGTATCGTCTAGTACTTATTTTTAATTATGTTTTCAATTTAGGAGGTTTATCAGGGTTAAGCTAGAACCTTTTATACTGTTTTTGAATTATGGAAATGTGTTTTGAATTAATTATGATAAAAATAAATTTCACTAACTAAAAATTGTATATAACGAAACGGGTCACCCATAATAAACTTAATTACTCGGACTCAGACAATTCATTTGTGGCTGAAGATGGGACATACACAACGAATTGAGGTTGCAGTGGATAGCAGTCAATGAGGTTTTTCAGAAAACAAAATTATAACAATTCTCATTACATTGTTTCATTTACCACTATCATAGCAGAGTTTAAGGCAACCTGACTTTATAGATAAGATAGGTCGAATCTGTATTAAAACCGAATCAGGTCGCCCCGAATCCACGTAGTCTTGGCTGCCCTACCGCTAGAGTGTTTTTGTAACGCCGTAGGCGCGGAGGGAGAGCAGCCCCCGCCAGCTGTAGCAAATCACAGGCACCTGTGTGAGCCATAGCGGCCGAGGCTGGTCCAATAAGCCGAAGCTGCGGAGGTGAGCATGGTGCCTGTGATTTGCTACGCAAGGGCGAAGGGCACTTCCTGCAGTGCCGAAGCCGTTGCAGAAGTAACTTTGTGTCTACATTCCTGTGTAAAAAAGTAAGGTTATGATTTTACAAAACTTATAAACTATATATTTCCGCAACGGGGGAAAGGTACTCAGGGCTTCCACTGAACGCTCCGCCTCCCCAACCCCCTCCCACCACCGTACACGAATACCGGATGTCTATAGTTTTACCGCTATTCAAAATAAAAATATTATTTCATGTATTATTGTAGAAAATATTCATAGATTTTTTTTATTCTAATGGGCAGTAGGAATGTCAAATTCTCAGCTATTGTTATTATGATTTTACTAAATTAAAAAAATTAATAAAATCTCAAGATTTTTTTAATAAATTGTTATAGAGATATATTATAGAGTAATGGTGCTTGATAATAATAATCATCTATCTATTTGGATAAAATTAAAATATTATTTTTATATATTAAAGGGTTATTTTTCAAAGATTAGCCAAATTTTAAACTTAAGTTCAAATATATAAATTGTTACGGACGGCGAGGGGAGCCGCCGCCCCGTCGCCCCTTCATAACCCGTTGCGCCCCGCGCACCCCGCACACCGCCAGCAGATCACGCGATGTTGCCCACCAATCAGCGCGCGGCACATCTTACAATACCACTCACATGCCGAGACACTATCTTTTGAAATATAAGAAGGGCGTTTTCACCTGTGAGCTGTTCATTTCGGAAGCGGCACTTGAAGACAACAGCAAGAGAAGAAACCTCAAGAGAAATCAAGAGAGAAGAATTAATACTCCATTGAAGATTGAAGATTTCCCTCTGTGTATATATAGTTTAGCGAAAAGCCGCTTGTAAATAGTTTGAATATATAATCGTCTACAGTACCATCTTTTCTTCGACAGTCCCTATAGTATAGTTTACCCTACATAACGTCAGTCGTCACACACAGTTAGTCAGTCAATCAGTTAGTTAAAATCATACAGTCCACTGCAGTCCCCTACATAAATAATGACATACCGTTATTGCAGTTTTTGAAAATAAAAGTAAATAAGGCTTCTACTTTTATTTGAAATGATCCCAAATTGAATGTGATTTATGGGCAATAACGTTTTTGTCTACCGATCGACCCTTACGAATATGTGCGTGCGCACTAAAATCAGTTAAAATAATGCATTACCATGCATTTTGAATTTAAAAGATAAAAATAAACATGCGTGAGTATCGTGGAACATTTGGTTGGAACAAAGTTCCTTTCGTAGTTTATTATTATTGATAAACATATTATATTATTGATTAACAAATACACATAAATGAATTACTAGCGTTTATTAAAATGAAGCATCATTTAAAATAAAATAATATTTCTTTCATGGTAAGATAAGAAGAAGTCCAAGGGAGATGGATATTATTCCATCTCGCTTGCTTATAGCCGCCAAGGCTGTCTACACTATGTCAGAAGGGTTATGACTGCAAAATCTTACACTTCTCCTCGCCTGGCCCCTATCTGCCAAATCAATGACTCTTCTACATAGATCGGGCTAAATTTGACCCTTTTGATCCTTTTTTCCCTTCTGACGGCCTTGGCGGCTATAAGGAAGCGAGATGGAATAATATCTTTCTCCCTCGCACTTTTTCCTATCTTGCCATGGAAGAAATATTATTTTATTTTAAATGACAATTCATTTTAATAGACGCTAGTAATTCATTTATTGCATGCCTTAAGCGCAAAGCGCGTAGGTATGTTCTACTAGCGCCTAAATATCAAGATTCCAACGTTTTGTTGCATAAAATCGTATCTAACAATCATATTGGACATAGAAATGATATAAAAAGCACATTGTCAGAAAGATAAATGATTGTTGAACTTATTAATATTTTTTTTAAATCGATTAATTGCTATTTTTACATAAAAAAGTAGTTTTAGTGGATTATGGTGTAGATTTATCAAGTCCGCATGGAGTGGTAAACACGATAACTTTTGAAAATATCAATTGTTTAACTCAATCTATTTTTTTATCTCTTCATCTATCTTGTGGGAAGCCATGGAATGTAAATGACAGTTTAATTTTGTTTTGTTTAGTTATAATTAATTTTTTTCGGCTGCGAAATATCGAAATTTTCGGTTTTTAGCAGCCTTGTATTAATTTATTTTACTAAATAGACTGCCTCACTCACTCACTTCCGCGTCAACCGCCGTCGTGAGTACAAATACAAAATATTCGAAAAACCAAATTTCATATATACTTGATTATTATAATAATCAGATATTTTTATTACAATATTTTAAAAGCACAGAATAAATAATAGTAGTATGTAATAGTAGTACTAAAAGTAAGTATAGTAAAATTATTTTGTGCGTGCAGTTGGGTCATAAGTTATAGCTTGGCCTCAGGCTGGCTCACCACCCTGTGAGCAACATGCTCACCACCCTGGTGAGCATGTTGCGCGGGCGCAACGGCATCATCGATAACAACAAATTTAATTTTAGATATAAGTTATTATCTTTATCTTTATATTTACATTTATTTTTAATATAACTTGTTACATTCGAAACATTTATAGTTATATAGTAGCAACTTAGTTTTTTTTAATCAATAATTTATTTTAAATCATTATTATTCTTATTTTAATAAATGCGTTGTTTTATCTATTTTTTTTTTTCATTTTTATCACTAACCCACATAATGACAATACTGAATACACTATCAATAACGCTTATCGACAACAATAATGCGTATCACTATGCTCGTCCCTAAGGCCCGTGAGTGGGAGAGAGAGCGAAATACTGCGATGATTTATGACCCAAACTGCACGCACTAAATAATTCTAGTTTAGGATGTATATATTTCATTATGTTTATACTTAAATACGTCTTAGACTTTATGGAGTGACCTGAATGATGATATGATGATCATATGAGCATTATGAGTTGTACACTTTTGGATTTTCCAAACTTTTTTTACATTGAAGTTTGACATAAAATTATTGGAAAATTGGAAGTATAATAAGGTTATTTGTGAAAACTTGTGTGTATTTAAAGTACTTTAAAAAAATCCGTATATGTTACATGTAATTTTTTAATGCAAAATTGGATTTACCAATAGTTTTTGTATTTGTTAATCAATTATATAATATGTTTATCAATAATATACTACGAAAGGAACTTTGTTCAAACCGAGTGTTCCACGACACACGCAAGTTTTTTATTTGTTATCAGGACGACACAGCTGCCCATCTTCTATTGTATTTTCCCAGTCGCAATGTAAGCTTTTTTTTTATAGAATAAGGGTGACAAACGAGCACACAGTCTGCCTACTGGTAAGTGGTTGCTGTGGCCCATAGACATCTACATCTATCCTCTATTACACATCAAAATGCAGATGCGTTGTCACCCGTGAGGACTAAGATGGAATGCCTCATTTCCAGTAAAAAGGGTCTCCGATTCTCTACACTCACCATACGAAACACAGCAGCGTTAAGCTGCTATTTTACGCTGGTATTCTGTGAGAGCGTGGTCCTTCCCCGGTCGAGCCGACCCATTCGTGCTACAACTGTACTACTAATACAGCTGCAGCATGGCTCTACCACGTGTAAAGCTACACTAACATTGTAATATCCACTACCCCATATTGTCCCGACAGTGTTGTAAGAGGCAACTGAATAAAGTGAAGCAATTTAATTGTTTTATTCATAAAACAATAATATTTTATTTTTTCATTTTGTTATTTATTATATGAATAACTTATATCTGTCAATTGGAAAATCGGGCTTATATGTATTTTTATCGGTTTTCAATGAATCTAATAATAATTGTAGTAAAAACCTTACAGGTTTGCTAGTTTATCAACAAGTGATGCAGCCAGTTCATCTAGTAATTATAACTCACAATATCATTTGGACTTGAACATGGTAAATATTGAAAAAATATTATACAAAATTGTTTATTCTTATACATGAATTAAGCAATATTCATGTTCCAGGCATCACATTCAACACTAAACGAGGTGGATGACTCATTTAGTAGGCAACCCAGCTATAGATATTACAGGCAACAACAACCTGAAGATCCTATTTATCAAAATCAGCAACAGGTGTGTTTGACCTCTCTTTTAAAACTACTCTTTATATGTTATTATAGTCTCACTTCTCAGCATAACAAATTCTATGCATTTTTTGTTTCATAGCGATAGTGATGTTGCTATAGTGGGTTCTGATTTAAGTAATTATATAATCTTCAGCTGTAAGATATACTGCAGTAACATCTGTTCATCACATGAAACTTTGACATGTAGTAATTGTGATATCGCCATTACTTACCATGTTATTAATTATTCAGTTTGTATTAATACAATAACGTTTATTTTACTCTAAGAAAATAGATAACATGACAAGAAACAAACATAAAGAGAAAACAAAATAAAATAATATAAAGAGAAAACAAAATGTGTTGCTTTACGTTTACAGCAATTACTTCCAGACAACTTCCTTAAGTTTGTCCTTCAATGTGACTTTTTGTTAGAGCAATTTTCGTTGCTAACCTTACCAATAATTCTTTGGATGGATGAACTACATACATATTTTAGAAACAAGCTTATACGGAACTCTCAGGGTGAGAGTCCTACTTGTCTGGTTTTCGCTTGTTGAATAGAAGTAATTTTGTGGATATTATCACAAATTTTTTAATTACTAGTTATGTCTGCGATTTGTATAGGGATAAAACTTTTTATCTACTGTGGGTAAAAGTATCACATGTATTAATCCATACAATTACATTCATTGTATGTATTTCTCTTCGTAAAGTATATCTTAGGAGGATCATTTTTATGATTACAGGTACAACAGCAAAAACAGCAACACTATAGCTCAAGAGAATCTAGTATGCCGCGAATCTCATCAAATTTGAGTATAACACCGAGACTACACGCTCCTTCTCCTCACTCTATGCATCTTCACACTTGTACGGACTGTAAGTAACTTCATAACTATTTTTGATATTACTTGATTTAAAGTATTTGCTTTGTTTGATTTACAGTTTTCTTTACAGCCAATCAAAGTTTACTGCTGAACATAGGTCTCCCTCACAGATTATCATGGGGGCATATTTGTCACCACGTATGGAAGGCGGGTTGCCAACCGCAGTTTTTTCGTCGCTGCAAACAGTAGAAGCTGGAGCATAAATACTACTGATGTAAAAATTATCGTCAAAGATTTCGAAAGTAAAAAATGTATGTGTCTGTGTGTGAGTATGTGCGCACGTTTGCACGTGCTTGCGTACGTACGTACACGTACGTGTGAGTGCGTGTGCGCGTGCGTATTCGTGAGCGTGTGCGTATTCGTGTGCGTGCATGTGCTTGTGTGTATGATATTTATTTCTAATGTTATAACTCATTTCAACAAATATTATATATAAAAAAATATACGTATAAAACCTTGGTAGTACCCCTTTTTTGTTACAGCATATACAACTGTGAGTCAATCATCACCAATATACTCAAATTATGTAAATGCGTCTGCTCTCCCATATCATAATAAAGGCCCTGGAAGTAGCATCATGTCAAGCAACCAAGGTATTTTGTTTTTTTTCTTTATTCATTAATAAAGCGGCTATTATAGGTATATACATATAAAAGTATGTTTCTGTACAATCCATATGTAAGTATTTTTATTGTGGTATTGTGTTTCCGCTATTCGTTGGTACAGTCTTCGACCAGCGAGTTATCATTTAAAAAATAAATGCACGTGCCGCACTGAGCACATCCTCCCACTTTTCAACTTGACGTGTCAAAATATTCAATTTAAGTGACGTTTCTACAATTTTATATTATTTAAAATTGGATTAATATTATATAATCCAACCAACCACTGCCACAGCGGTGACACTCTCTGTACGTGAGAGTTAAAGCGCCAGTGACATTAGGCCAGAGCGTGTAACGCTAGGGTTGATACCGAACCGAAATGGAATATTATAGACTTGTGCCAAAGAATATACATAGTAGGTATATGTTATATAATGTAAACTTATATATTTAGATAGTGAAAGATACGATCAATTTTAAATCAACTTTTATTAAATATCTTTACAGATAGGGAAAATTAAAATTTCCGACAAAACAAAATATGCATGACAATTAATGGTGCCGTGTAGTGGCGGTCAAGAATACCACTACCCCATATCCTCCCGTGGGTGTCGTAAAAGGCGACAAAGGGAAACAGGCAGGAGATGGGCAGCAGCATCTTCCTGATAATAGCCAAAATTATAATAAAAAACTGCGGTTGCCAACCCGCTCGCCAAGCGTGGCAACTATGGCAAATACCCCCCTATGAATGTAACAAAGAGACGGCCCCCAGTCCCCGGCGGCCCCGCTATTCCTGGCTACGGTGGCGACCATGGTAACGGCGGGGCAGGGGGTGCTAAGAATCTCCGGTGGAGGTTCGGTTGCCACCTTAGACGACTCGACCTGGCAACATACAACGCACGCACCCTGAGGACTGACGAGAAGATCGTGGAGCTGGAAGAAGAGATAGACAAGTTGCGCTGGCATATTATAGGATTATCCGAAGTCCGAAGAGAGGGGGAGGACACGGTAATCCTCGAATCCGGCAACTTGCTCTATCACCGGGAGGGCGACCATCTGTCCCAAGGAGGTGTCGGATTTATCGTCCACAAGTCTCTCGTTAACAACGTTGTAAAGATCGGGAGTGTGTCGACGAGGGTTGCGTACCTTATACTCAGAATTACCAAACGGTATTCGCTGAAGGTCATACAGGTTTACGCACCAACCTCGGCACACCCCGATGGGGAGGTGGAGGAAATGTATGAGGATATCTCTAGAGCCATGCATTCCTCCAAAACCCAATATACGGTGTTAATGGGAGACTTCAATGCAAAACTAGGCACAAGAGAGAACGGTGAGCTGAAAGTAGGGAAATTTGGAATAGGGCAACGGAACCCAAGGGGCCAGCAGCTGGCCGACTTCATGGAGAAAGAGGGACTCTTTATGATGAACTCTTTCTTCCAAAAGCGGCCCCACAGGAAGTGGACCTGGTCGAGCCCCGACGGTTCGACAAAAAATGAGATTGACTTCATTATGACGACCAGACGACAACTGTTCAGTGATGTCTCCGTGATCGCGAGGGTGAAAACTGGTAGCGATCACCGAATGGTTAGAGGCACACTGAACCTAAACGTTAAGTTGGAGAGGTCTCGTCTAATGAAGTCAACGCTCCGTCCCCCTCGTGCTCTGTTCCAAAGTCCCGAAACCTTTCAGCTCGAGTTACAAAACCGTTTTCAGTGCCTAGAAGACTGCAATGAAGTGGACGATATGAATGACAAGCTCGTGGAAACTGTCCATGCGGTCGGAGCTAAGTTCTGCAAGACCCGCCGCAGAAGAACACAAAAACTCTCCGATCACACTCTTAATCTCATGGCTGTTAGACGGGAGATGAAGCTACATTCTTCAACAGACTTGACAGCATACAGGCATCTGAACAGACAGATCTCCAAATGCATGCGGCGGGACTTACGCAACTTCAATACAGCTCGTATTGAAGAAGCGATCGAGCGGAACCAAGGCTCCAAAGTCTTTGCCAGAGATCTGTCTGCCAGAAAGAGCCACCTGTCAAAGCTGAAGACAGAATGTGGCAGCATCGTTTCCGGGACACCTGAGATTTTGAGTGAGATTGAGAGGTTCTATGGGCAGCTGTACACGTCATCGTTGGAGCCACACGCAAGTGTGAGTAACGATCCAAGAGCGAGTCTCATCCGACACTATTCCGAAGATATCCCGGACGTCAGTCTGAGCGAGATTAGAATGTCTCTCCAGCACCTTAAAAACGGTAAGGCCCCAGGCGAGGATGGAATTACAGCGGAGCTTCTGAAAGTGGGTGGAAGACCGGTACTTGAAGTCCTTCAGAAGCTCTTTAATTCCGTCCTCCATGGTGGCATTACACCGGAGGCGTGGAGCAGAAGTGCGGTGGTCTTGTTCTTCAAGAAAGGTGACAACGCTCTCTTGAAGAACTACAGACCGATTTCCCTTCTGAGCCGCGTCTACGTGCTGTTTTCGAGAGTCATTACGAATCGTCTCGCGCGCAGACTTGACGACTTCCAGCCTCCCGAACAAGCCGGTTTCCGAAAGGGCTTTAGCACCATAGACCACATACATACCCTTCGGCAAATTGTACAGAAGTCCGAAGAGTACAATTTGCCACTATGTCTGGCGTATGTGGACTATGAGAAAGCCTTTGATTCCGTCGAAATTTGGGCGGTGCTGCAGTCCCTTCAGCGGTGCCAAGTTGACTGTCGGTATATCGAAGTGTTGAAGTGCTTGTACAGTAGGGCTACGATGGCTATCCGAGTACAGAACCAGAGTACGAAACCTATCCAATTGCAGAGAGGTGTAAGACAGGGTGACGTCATATCCCCGAAACTCTTCACCGCTGCATTGGAAGACGTTTTCAAGCTTCTGGACTGGAAAGGATACGGTATCAACATCAATGGCGAGTACATCACTCACCTTCGATTTGCCGACGATATAGTCCTTATGGCAGAATCGCTGGAGGACCTAAGCACTATGCTCAATGACCTCGATAGTGTTTCCCAACGGATAGGTCTTAAGATGAACATGGACAAAACAAAGATCATGTTCAATGTCCATGTCACACCTATGCCGGTAGTTGTTGGGAGCACTAAGCTCGAAGTTGTTGACGATTATGTTTACCTGGGACAAATAGTCCGACTAGGTAAGTCCAACTTCGACCGAGAGGTCAATCGACGGATTCAACTCGGCTGGGCAGCGTTCGGGAAGCTACGACACATCTTCTCGTCAGACATACCTCAAAACCTGAAAACGAAATTGTACAACCAGTGCGTGTTGCCAGTGATGACTTATGGAACTGAGACGTGGTCCTTCACTGCTGGCCGTATGAGGAAGCTCAAGGTCGCTCAGCGAGCTATGGAGAGGGCTATGCTCGGAGTTTCTCTGCGTGATAAACTTAGGAATGAGGATATCCGCAGTAGAACCAGAGTAACCGACATAGCCCAACGGATTAGTAAGCTGAAGTGGCAGTGGGCCGGCCATATAGCTCGAAGAACCGACAACCGATGGGGAAGAAAGGTTCTCGAGTGGCAGCCTCGTACCGGTAGGCGAAGTGTAGGGCGTCCCCCCACGAGATGGAGTGACGACCTGGTAAGACATGCAGGAAGTCGATGGATGCAGGTGGCTCAGGACCGTGCTTTGTGGCATTCTTTGGGGGAGGCCTATGTTCAGCAGTGGACTTGTGAAGGGCTGTAATGATGATGATGATAATGGTAATCTTAAATAATAATTAACCAACACTTAGTATTTCAGTACCCTTTAAAAATTACTTACTCTTATATATTTTTGGCTTAATTTTACGATGACTTTTATAATTTTTATTAGTATTTCTAAGTATTGAAAAAAATCGTAGCCGTATGTATATTTTTTTTATAAAATCCATAGAGAAGCATAGATAGATAGATAACACTTAATTGTACGCCAAAAAATAACATAAATATTAACAAAAAATGAGAAAAATAAGTGTGGTACAATGGGTGGTCTTATCGCAAAGAGTGATCTCTTCCAGACAACCTTTGGATGGACAGGATTCATCATTACAGCCCTTCACAAGTCCACTGCTGAACATAGGCCTCCCCCAAAGAATGCCACAAAGCACGGTCCTGAGCCACCTGCATCCATCGACTTCCTGCATGTCTTACCAGGTCGTCACTCCATCTCGTGGGAGGACGCCCTACACTTCGCCTACCGGTACGAGGCTGCCACTCGAGAACCTTTCTTCCCCATCGGTTGTCGGTTCTTCGAGCTATATGGCCGGCCCACTGCCACTTCAGCTTACTAATCCGTTGGGCTATGTCGGTTACTCTGGTTCTACTGCGGATATCCTCATTCCTAAGTTTATCACGCAGAGAAACTCCGAGCATAGCCCTCTCCATAGCTCGCTGAGCGACCTTGAGCTTCCTCATACGGCCAGCAGTGAAGGACCACGTCTCAGTTCCGTAAGTCACCACTGGCAACACGCACTGGTTGTACAATTTCGTTTTCAGGTTTTGAGGTATGTTTGACGAGAAGATGTGTCGTAGCTTCCCGAACGCTGCCCAGCCGAGTTGAATCCGTCGATTGACCTCTCGGTCGAAGTTGGACTTACCTAGTCGGACTATTTGTCCCAGGTAAACATATTCGTCAACAACTTCGAGCTTAGTGCTCCCAACAACTACCGGCATAGGTGTGACATGGACATTGAACATGATCTTTGTTTTGTCCATGTTCATCTTAAGACCTATCCGTTGGGAAACACTATCGAGGTCATTGAGCATAGTGCTTAGGTCCTCCAGCGATTCTGCCATAAGGACTATATCGTCGGCAAATCGAAGGTGAGTGATGTACTCGCCATTGATGTTGATACCGTATCCTTTCCAGTCCAGAAGCTTGAAAACGTCTTCCAATGCAGCGGTGAAGAGTTTCGGGGATATGACGTCACCCTGTCTTACACCTCTCTGCAATTGGATAGGTTTCGTACTCTGATTCTGTACTCGGATAGCCATCGTAGCCCTACTGTACAAGCACTTCAACACTTCGATATACCGACAGTCAACTTGGCACCGCTGAAGGGACTGCAGCACCGCCCAAATTTCGACGGAATCAAAGGCTTTCTCATAGTCCACATACGCCAGACATAGTGGCAAATTGTACTCTTCGGACTTCTGTACAATTTTCCGAAGGGTATGTATGTGGTCTATGGTGCTAAAGCCCTTTCGGAAACCGGCTTGTTCGGGAGGCTGGAAGTCGTCAAGTCTGCGCGCGAGACGATTCGTAATGACTCTCGAAAACAGCACGTAGACGCGGCTCAGAAGGGAAATCGGTCTGTAGTTCTTCAAGAGAGCGTTGTCACCTTTCTTGAAGAACAAGACCACCGCACTTCTGCTCCACGCCTCCGGTGTAATGCCACCATGGAGGACGGAATTAAAGAGCTTCTGAAGGACTTCAAGTACCGGTCTTCCACCCGCTTTCAGAAGCTCCGCTGTAATTCCATTCTCGCCTGGGGCCTTACCGTTTTTAAGGTGCTGGAGAGCCATTCTAATCTCGCTCAGACTGACGTCCGGGATATCTTCGGAATAGTGTCGGATGAGACTCGCTCTTGGATCGTTACTCACACTTGCGTGTGGCTCCAACGATGACGTGTACAGCTGCCCATAGAACCTCTCAATCTCACTCAAAATCTCAGGTGTCCCGGAAACGATGTTGCCGCATTCTGTCTTCAGCTTTGACAGTTGGCTCTTTCTGGCAGACAGATCTCTGGCAAAGACTTTGGAGCCTTGGTTCCGCTCGATCGCTTCTTCAATACGAGCTGTATTGAAGTTGCGTAAGTCCCGCCGCATGCATTTGGAGATCTGTCTGTTCAGATGCCTGTATGCTGTCAAGTCTGTTGAAGAATGTAGCCTCATCTCCCGTCTAACAGCCATGAGATTAAGAGTGTGATCGGAGAGTTTTTGTGTTCTTCTGCGGCGGGTCTTGCAGAACTTAGCTCCGACCGCATGGACAGTTTCCACGAGCTTGTCATTCATATCGTCCACTTCATTGCAGTCTTCTAGGCACTGAAAACGGTTTTGTAACTCGAGCTGAAAGGTTTCGGGACTTTGGTACAGAGCACGAGGGGGACGGAGCGTTGACTTCATTAGACGAGACCTCTCCAACTTAACGTTTAGGTTCAGTGTGCCTCTAACCATTCGGTGATCGCTACCAGTTTTCACCCTCGCGATCACGGAGACATCACTGAACAGTTGTCGTCTGGTCGTCATAATGAAGTCAATCTCATTTTTTGTCGAACCGTCGGGGCTCGACCAGGTCCACTTCCTGTGGGGCCGCTTCTGGAAGAAAGAGTTCATCATAAAGAGTCCCTCTTTCTCCATGAAGTCGGCCAGCTGCTGGCCCCTTGGGTTCCGTTGCCCTATTCCAAATTTCCCTACTTTCAGCTCACCGTTCTCTCTTGTGCCTAGTTTTGCATTGAAGTCTCCCATTAACACCGTATATTGGGTTTTGGAGGAATGCATGGCTCTAGAGATATCCTCATACATTTCCTCCACCTCCTCATCGGGGTGTGCCGAGGTTGGTGCGTAAACCTGTATGACCTTCAGCGAATACCGTTTGGTGATTCTGAGTATAAGGTACGCAACCCTCGTCGACACACTCCCGATCTTTACAACGTTGTTAACGAGAGACTTGTGGACGATAAATCCGACACCTCCTTGGGACAGATGGTCGCCCTCCCGGTGATAGAACAAGTTGCCGGATTCGAGGATTACCGTGTCCTCCCCCTCTCTTCGGACTTCGGATAATCCTATAATATGCCAGCGCAACTTGTCTATCTCTTCTTCCAGCTCCACGATCTTCTCGTCAGTCCTCAGGGTGCGTGTGTTGTACGTTGCCAGGTCAAGTCGTCTAAGGTGGCAACCGAACCTCCACCGGAGATTCTTAGCACCCCCTGCCCCGCCGTTACCATGGTCGCCACCGTAGCCAGGAATAGCGGGGCCGCCGGGGACTGGGGGCCGTCTCTTTGTTACAATCATAGAGGGGGTATTTGCCATAGTTGCCACGCCTGGCGAGCGGGTTGGCAACCGCAGTTTTTTTATTATAATTTTGGCTATTATCAGGAAGATGCTGCTGCCCATCTCCTGCCTGTTTCCCTTTGTCGCCTTTTACGACACCCACGGGAGGATATGGGGTAGTGGATATTCTTGGCCGCCACTACACGGCACGACTGGATTGCAAGAAAACAATAAAAACGTGTGTGGTTTGACGACAAAAATAACATTATTTTTATGAAAGCCATAAAATAGAAATACAGAATGTTATATATATATATATATATACACTCACCGGCACGGAAACTTGGCCACTCGTGAATTTGCTGATTATTTGCACTGAAACGTTTTTTTAACAGTAAATTAAGGGTGCATTCAATGCATGCATGCATTCAATAAGTGTCTCTAATGGTTTTAGAACGTAGAAATTTAATGTTTACTTCACCGAAATTTTTCTTTTCAAGATAACATGTTTTCACTAAAATTAACATCTTTCCATTGTCACTTTAAAAACACTACAAAGTTAAAAATTAAGTCTGTTTCTTTATTGTCTATCAGTTTTAATATCGGGTGTTTCCTCCCCTAGCCCTGATAACCGCTTGCATTCGATCTGGCATGCTTTGAATGATGTTTCTGACATCAACTTGCGGTATGCTGTCCCAAGCGGCCAGCGCTGCATTTCGGAGCTCATTTAGAGTTTGTGGCGGTTTGGAGCTGGACTTTATCTTTCTTTTGAACATACCCCATACATGCTCAATTGGATTTAAGTCCGGGCTACGAGCTGGCCACTGTAATTTTTGTATTCCAACCTCTTCCAGATATTCCTCTACACAATGTGCGACGTGCGGGCGTGCATTATCGTGCATGAGGAGGAATTGGTCGTGTCCAATGAATCCCGAATAAGGAATTACGTGCTCCTGAAGAACTTCCTCGATGTATCGAGTAGCTGTAAGCCGATTATCGACGATGACCAACTCTGTACGTGCGTCGGAACTTACACCTCCCCATACCATTATTGAGCCTCCATGGAAACTCACAGTTTGGGTGGTGGTAATGGGTAGAAACCTCTCTCCTCTTTTTCTCCACACTCGTTCTCGACCGTCTGGAGCACGTAAAGCTATTCGACACTCATCTGTGAACAACACTCTAGCCCATTGCTCGTGGGTCCAATTGACATGTTCTCTTGCGAACTGAAGTCGGGCTACTCGGTGCTGTCTGAGAAGTTCTGGACCTCGTGCTGGTCTACGAGCTTTTAAATTCACTTCCTCCATTCGTCTTCTCACCGTACGCTCACTAACATTAACGCCTCTTGCGATTTGGAGCCGCTGGCGTATCTCAACAGCGGTCAGGTAGCGGTTTCTCAAAATCTCCATAACAATAAAACGATCGTCCCGGGCCGATGTGCACCTTACGCCCCCACTGCCTGGCCTGCGGGTGTAGCGTCCTGTCTCCTGGTATCGTTTCAGTGAATACTGCATTGAGGACCGTGGTACGTTAAGCACAATAGCAACTTCACGCTGTGTCAGCCCTTGGTCAATTAATGCTACTGCTTGTGCAACTTGTGCTGGTGTTAATGGCATTTTTATTGGCTTTAAAGCACCTTTAGTTATTGAATTAAGACACAAGATCACAATAATTGAATAACCTTACAGTAAACTTTTCACAACACACAAATTTAAAATGTGAACTTAGTCGCTCAAATGACCCGATTCAACTAAAAATTAAAGAATTCGTCATGGTGCACTTAAACATAATGAATTACCCTCTTGAACTTGAGAGCAAACATTTTTTGACATACCTGCATAACAAACATTCATCAGAAACACTTAAAGCTTTTGCTATCGCGAGATAACCGCTTGGCCAAGATTCCGTGCCGGTGAGTGTATATATATATATATATATATATATATATATATATATATATATATATATATATATATATATATATATATATATATATATATATATATATATATTATTTTGATTTGAATTGTAATTTTTATAATACAACTGTTGTCCTTGATAAAAATATAAATATATAAAATTACTAATATATACTTTAAAACTATTATATATAACAAAAATGTGCCATACATATAAATAAATATTGTAACCAAATAAAGGTAAAATAATTATACACAGCCGTCGCCGACTGCCCTCAGCCAGGGCAGTCGGCGACCCCGCGCGCCTCTCAAGGATCCCGCACACATCCAGACATCCACACGTAGCGGCAAGTGATTTTACGAGCACACATGCTTAAGTGTCGTTTCTTTTCGCGTAGTATATATATTCTTTGCCACTGTAGGGTTAACTTTTAGGTTTTTCCAAAATTGATGTGTAATATGATTGCGGATCGATATCGATAATTTTTTTTATTACTCATTGAAGATGCATCAAAATAAAAACTTTAATTTGTACTATAATACCACTTAACGATATTAATATTTTATTACCTAAATTATTTATAAGGAAAGGTTGAATGAAACAAGTTGAAGAAAGGTGCTCTCCACTTGGATGTTTGCATCCATTAATTTGAAAGCGGAACTATCTTGTCCTATTAATTATTCTGTAGCGCAGCTATCAGATTCACAGGCAGTGTCTCTTACCACTTTACGTTCTGATATTCCAAACGTTTACTTGTATATTTCCTAGGTTCCGATGAATGTGAGTTGCCGTTACCGCCGGGGTGGTCCGCGGATCGCACATTGCGTGGTCGACGGTACTACATGGACCATAACACACAGACTACACATTGGACGCATCCGTTGGAGAGCGTGCCACAACCTTGGCAAAGAGTTTCTACGCCACATCATGGAGTGTATTATTTTAAGTAAGACCGATAATTATTTTTATTATATGTTGGCTGTGCTCAGTGTGGTTTAATGGTGATGGATTTACTATACATAAACTGGTTTACTCATATCAATCTCAAAGTATTGTGAATGTCATGTTCTTCTCACTTCACCGTGAACATGAGCCCCTTCCATAATAGAAAGTATTTGTCAATAAGCCGCGCCTGGCAGGCACTTATAGTTGTTGACGATCTTGTCTTTATTTACTTTATTGGCCTGGAAAAATTTTCCGCTGGACACGGATCGTTCCTGTTGCAGCGCAATTTTCCTTAATCGTAAGGATTAATGGCTGGCGGATAGACGATCGCAATGTTAGAGGTCCCCCACACCTGTGTTACTGACTTTAATTACATGGTTATATCGCGTTATATCGGAAGCCAAAATATTTTTGTATAGTGTAGTATAGTATATCCCCTTAGTCGTCGTTGTTACGACATCCACGAGACGAAATGGGATGGTGGATTTTTGCATGCCACCTGCATCCATCGTTTTCCTGTATCACGACGTTAGAGGGTTCAACCCATTTATTGGGAGTAATAATCATAGTCGCCTTCTACAACACCCACAGAACCGTATGAAATAATAGTTTTTTTACACTAGCATAAGACTCAGAGAAGACACAGAATAGAATTTTTTTATTCAATGTTATTTTTATTATGAATAATACCAATTGTGCCTTTTTTTACTTTTGTCACTGGTTCTGAAAAACCTGGGTCCTAGGAAGAACCAGCATGAAACCTAGTGAGACTTTTTTCTAAGTTATTCAATGTAACATGTGATAATGTGCACAGATTCTGCAAGTACATTAAGGTAAGCTTAGAACTGATAACCTGATTCCCAGGGTTGTTATCAACAATATATTAATTTCTATTAGATTAACCCTTTTGACACAGTTTTGGTTGTAGTAGTTAGACTGTTTGGTTGAAAAAAATAATTGTTCCACTATTAATTAATTTTATTACAGTTTTATTATTAATATAATTACAGGCAGTTTTAATACGCTAAATTACTGTCGACGTAAAAAGCAGAATACTTTTTAAATCGAAAAAACGTTAACTGTGACCCAGTGTTACCATAATAAAATTTTCATTTGACTAGTTCCGATTTCGTATGCGTAAGCGAATGTATTGCAAAAAGTTAAAAGACGCAAAAATGTAATTATTTACGCATAGTAACATTGATGCCCCTATCAAATACCTACATTTGGAGAATGTTACAATTTCATATAAAAGTTTGTAAGTGGTATACTATCTTTTTACAGTGAAATCACTCATCAGACAACATATGCGCACCCTTGCTTGGTTGGAGGATGCTATTTGGTTAGCCCGCTCGTTCCCACCCTCGTGCCACCTTATCTTCTAGAAGAGATACCTCATTGGCTGATCGTTTATTCGAAAGGTATTTCTTTTGTTTTTGAATTGTTACTAAAAATTGTATCTCGCAGTGTCGTAAGAGAATCCACTACTTCCGTGGGTATCTTAAGAGGCGACAGATACTGATAAAAAATCAATGTTATAAAAAACTGCGGTTTCAAACCCGCCTACCAAGCATAGTAACTTCGGCATATACACAAATGAATGTAATAATTGGACGTGGTTATGCAAAAAGGATCCAACTCGAGATTGTGTCAAAAAATGTTGACTTGAAAAATAATGTTTGTGGTCTATACTATTATGTGATGTAACAATTTTAGCAAACGTAACACAAATAAGAAGAAAAATTACAAACAGACAGAACCATACCGATAATTTGAGTTTATGATATTTGATGTATGGATACTTCAAATATCATAAACTCAAATGAACTTATTGCGGGTTGGATCCTTTTTGCATAACTACGTCCAATTGTTATTTGCATGGCCTACGTACCGGGTCTGGTCCCATAGTGGGGAGGCTATGGGTGGTTGGCAGTGTGCTATCCAAGTGAGCGTTGAGTGCGCGGACTTGTTGTCATGGTTTAATGAAGTCTCGTGTTCGGTTGCTTATTTTTTTCAGCAGTGAAGAATTCTGCCAAGCATTTGGTAGTACCATTCGGTATTGAGGCTAATTCAATTTCGTAAAGGCATTGACACCAGATACCCAGTCGAAGTGAAAAATTAGCGATCAAAATATTCTCTGCGCTCTGATCGCTTCACTCTAGTAGGCTTTTCTTTTAAAATAAATTATTTACACAAAGGGCGACTACTTCTGTCTTCATCGCTCAAAGTTAGACGACCGTGCTGAAATTTAGTAATACCAGCATACATAAACACTCACGCCTGTCACCCAGAGGGGTAGGCAGAGATTATGGACTTCCATTTTGCACGATCCTGACACACCTCTCTCGCTTCCTCCACATCCATATACCTACGCATACACGCTCGTCGGTTAAAGGTACTCTTGATTTGGCCCATTTTTAATATATCGCCAATTTGGTCGATAAACTTTCGCCTAGGGCGACCCTTCCCGACTATGCCGTTCACCTCTACAACATAAATTTGCTTTGTCACTCTTTACCAGCAGTATACGTAAAGATCGCCCATGGTTAACCTTTTGACCGCCAAAGTCGCCTATACTTGACAAGCACCTGCGGGCCCTGAGCGCCAACGACGTCTATAGTTGACAAAAAACCCGGCCCACAAAAATATGAAATATAGATATTGGAAAATTATTACTGGTATTTTAATTCCACACTCCTCAAAAAGAATAACCCAGCAACATGTGAGTATAAAAAACAAGTCTCCTAGAGCCACAAGTACTAAGAAACATTGAACTAAAAGAAAATGGATTTTTATCTAAGCAAATACTATGTCCAGCACGCCAAAGTCGTTTATAGTTGACCGCTAGTGCCGTGCGCGGGAGGCATAGATTTCTTGAAAACTAGCCAAAATTCAGCTCAAACGTGTTATTTTTTTAACTATTATTATTGATATTTGAATGGAACAAAAGGATAGAAACGTAAAACTATAATTAGCTACATGAATAAAAAAATGTTATCAAATCATCATCGTCATCGAAAATCAGTTCACTGGGCGTTTCTTTCTCAATCTCAAAATCATCTGGCAGCATCAGCCTCATATCAAACCCCCATTGTCATTAAAGCGTTAGACTTTTCTTCTGTGCTTCAATTGGCCTACGCCTCCCCCGACACAAAATATTTTGATTCGATGTCTGTATATTTTGGTTAGATCGATTTCGAAATCGATACACAACGTGCGACACGGCTACATCTCTAAGAAAGTTTCAAAAAGGAAGGTCAGTTACGCCGTTGTGGTCCAGTGACAGTGACTTACTACTATTTTATTGATATTGTTTGCTTTTTATTTATGTACAAAGTAGATATATAAAAAGAGTGGAAGACAGCGCAAGATTAAATAAAACATACCAGATTATAAAGAGTCATTTATTGCATAAAAAACCAACAAAAACAAGTTATTTTGTGTTATCGATATATCAACTCTTGGCAACACTATTATTTTCGTAGGTAGTTTTGTTTACTTTTCGCTTTGGCGTACAGGACACGGTTATGCGTTTTTGGCGTGGCGGTCAAAAGGTTAAAAATTTGTAGAAATTTCAAATATTGATGAGGTATTTGTAAGGACAATAGAATTATTAATACTCGGTATTTTAAATTAAATATAAAATATAATATCATGTCTTATTTTAATGTGCTTTTAGCTGATCAAGAATTAGATCACAAGCTTCGTTGGAACATGTTCCGGTTAAGCGAGCTAGACTGTTACTCGGACATGTTGACACGCCTCTACAAGCAAGAATTGCAGCTAATCGTGATGAAATATGAAAGATACAGGTAGTCTTCTAACTAAAATTAAACATTAAAAAAACCCGAAACAAAAAGAGCTGATGATCTGCAAACGGCTAACAGATTTTCTTGAAACATAACTAAGAACACTCTCGATTAAGACACCTTTCTAACGAAAATACTTTAATCAAAATTGGTTGATCCGTTCAGGAGGTGTGATGCCACAGACAAACACACAGACAGATACACAGATACACACTACAAACATATAACACCCTTCTGTTTTCGTTGGGGGTTGAAAAATATAATACTTAAGACTTAACTAATAATTTATGGTTTTAACATAAGTCGTGTTTAAACTTTAAACTGCCTATATACGGGAGAGTTATTCGAATTGTGTTAAGTTTTCTTTTATATCTCACAAGAAAACCAGCGTAAAATAGCAGCTTAACGCTGCTGTGTTTCGTATGGTGAGTGTAGAGAGCCGGAGACCCTTTTTACTGGCAAAGAGGCATTCCATCTTAGTCCTCACGGGTGACAACGCATCTGCATCTTGAGTCTTTATTGAGGATAGATGTAGATGTCTATGGGTCACAGTAACCACTTACCATCAGGTGGACTGTGTGCTCGTTTGTCACCCGATCCTATAAAAAAATATATTTTTCTAGAGATTCTGTTTTAAATGTAAACAAAAATCTTAGTGTTCCACACGGACATCTACGACAGAGTGAACAAGAGTGCAGAAACAGTGGCTTGATCTTGAATCAACGTACTGAGTGGCTAGGCCTGTCTAGGGTTGAGCCCCTATATGTTCATATTATACTGAGTGTCCCAAAAATATCACGTCAGAGCGACATGGAAGATAGGTTAGCCTTAGATCTTGCAGATAAAAAAATTACCTTAGTAAAAAGTTTTTAGTTTTCGAGATATCGTCAATTATTTTATTTTCTCAAAAATCTCTACTTTAAGTTAGTGTTTCTACTGTTGTCGTTAGAAATACCTTGAAAGTTTTTCGTTTTTTATATTTTTTTATTTCTCGAACAGTTGTTCCATGCGTTGAAAGTAGATTTGCCTTTGAAAAAATTGCAATCTGTCCTAACCAAATTATACTAACATATTGAATAAATTTAATAATTTAAAAATTGTTAAGAAGTCTCACGTAAGCGGATAGGGGCTCTCCTCTTCCCGCTCACGCGTGATTTACACCACATTACACCAAATCTCAATAAGTGTGAAAAACACCTTATGTAATTAATAGAACTTGTCGACAACTTCGAGCATAGTGCTCAAAACAACCACTGGCATACAGGTGTGACATGGACGTTACACATAACTTTTGTTTTGTTTTGTCAGTGGTTATATCTGATGTTAATTAATGAGGCACTGGTTTCTCGAGATTTTTTTATTTTACCTTTTTAGTCCAAATTAGTCAAGATTGTGGGTAAATTAACAACTAAAGATCGACTTCTTCCAATTACTTCAGATTCATCTGTATGTAGGTAGGTTCCATAGTACCTGGTCGTTATCGTGGTTAATTATTCAAGTCAATCCTAAGTAGTTTCTAGCCTATACAATTGCAGCAATCTTATTACACCACATCGACAGAACTTTTATTCCATAATTACTTTTATTTGTACGTAAAATATACAACAGATACCGAATGTAAAAACAACTAAAAGTTAAACTGTAGAATGTCATAAAATTTTCGAATTGAGAATATTATAGTTTTCGTGTAAAAAAGTTTTAATTACGATTCTTGGATCATGCCTAATATTACAATGAGAGGTTTATATTGTGAACGGGTGCGTTGACGTGCATAAAGGGCACACCTGGAAACCACTTTCCCTTCTATTTTCGCTGTTCGTTGTGATTTAATCGCAACTTTTAATTTTTCTGCTAGCGTAGCGTAATACTGTCCCGTAATGTTGACATCGTTATCTTTATAATCGATTAATAAAATTTCTGAATCCCAAAAAACTGAAGCCATATTCTTTCCACTCTATAGTGACACCTTGAACTTCTATGGCGGTGGGCCTTTTTATGCCACTGCATGGACTCCTGATCTGACTCAGGCCCCATAGTGATGAACCCAAATTCCATCCCCAGTCACAATTCGGTTTATAATTTCGTCCCTGTTATCACTACACAGGTCAAAAAACTCGCGCGAACACTCGACCCGCTGCTGTTTCTGAAGCGGTGTGAGTATTCTTGGCACTGACCTTAGACATGCCAAGATGGTCATGGAGAATGTTTAAAACGGCCTTAAATGTTACTCCAGTCATTTCTACGATCTGTTTTTTTCTTCAGACGAGAATCTTTAAAAACAAATTTTTTAACCTTTTACACAATGTCCGAGGAAGTTGCTTCAATCGGTCGGCCTGAGCGCTGATCGTCTTCAATTTAGTCTCTGCCTTGCTTGAAAATACTATGCCACTTATAAATCAAATACCTTAATACTGATGCAGAAATATCAAGACTTACTGACATGCAGTAATTGCATGCGTCGCGGCAGCAAACTCTCCGAATGACATTTAACACGTGTGCAGCGCTTGTTTTATATCGCTGAATCCCGAGCATAGTCAATAATATTTTCTTTGGAATTGATTTTTTAATTAAATGTCATCTTTTATAATAATGTATATTCAGACTTGACAGCATACAGGTATCTGAACAGACAGATCTCCAAATGCATGCGGCGGGACTTACGCAACTTCAATACAGCTCGTATTGAAGAAGCGATCGAGCGGAACCAAGGCTCCAAAGTCTTTGCCAGAGATCTGTCTGCCAGAAAGAGCCAACTGTCAAAGCTGAAGACAGAATGTGGCAGCATCGTTTCCGGGACACCTGAGATTTTGAGTGAGATTGAGAGGTTCTATGGGCAGTTGTACACGTCATCGTTGGAGCCAGACACAAGTGTGAGTAACGATCCAAGAGCGAGTCTCATCCGACACTATTCCGAAGATATCCCGGACGTCAGTCTGAGCGAGATTAGAATGGCTCTCCAGCACCTTAAAAACGGCAAGGCCCCAGGCGAGGATGGAATTACAGCGGAGCTTCTGAAAGCGGGTGGAAAACCGGTACTTGAAGTCCTTCAGAAGCTCTTTAATGCCGTCCTCCATGGTGGCATTACACCGGAGGCGTGGAGCAGAAGTGCGGTGGTCTTGTTCTTCAAGAAAGGTGACAACGTTCTCTTGAAGAACTACAGACCGATTTCCCTTCTGAGCCGCGTCTACGTGCTGTTTTCGAGAGTCATTACGAATCGTCTCGCGCGCAGACTTGACGACTTCCAGCCTCCCGAACAAGCCGGTTTCCGAAAGGGCTTTAGCACCATAGACCACATACATACCCTTCGGCAAATTGTACAGAAGTCCGAAGAGTACAATTTGCCACTATGTCTGGCGTATGTGGACTATGAGAAAGCCTTTGATTCCGTCGATATTTGGGCGGTGCTGCAGTCCCTTCAGCGGTGCCAAGGTGACTGTCGGTATATCGAAGTGTTGAAGTGCTTGTACAGTAGGGCTACGATGGCTATCCGAGTACAGAACCAGAGTACGAAACCTATCCAATTGCAGAGAGGTGTAAGACAGGGTGACGTCATATCCCCGAAACTCTTCACCGCTGCATTGGAAGACGTTTTCAAGCTTCTGGACTGGAAAGGATACGGTATCAACATCAATGGCGAGTACATCACTCACCTTCGATTTGCCGACGATATAGTCCTTATGGCAGAATCGCTGGAGGACCTAAGCACTATGCTCAATGACCTCAATAGTGTTTCCCAACGGATAGGTCTTAAGATGAACATGGACAAAACTAAGGTCATGTTTAATGTCCATGTCACACCTATGCCGGTAGTTGTTGGGAACACTAAGCTCGAAGTTGTTGACGAGTATGTTTACCTGGGACAAATAGTCCGACTAGGTAAGTCCAACTTCGACCGAGAGGTCAATCGACGGATTCAACTCGGTTGGGCAGCGTTCGGGAAATTACGGAACATCTTCTCGTCAGGTATACCTCAAACCTTGAAAACGAGACTGTACACCCAGTGCGTGTTGCCAGTGATGACATACGGAACTGAGACGTGGTCCTTCACTGCTGGCCGAATGAGGAAGCTCAAGGTCGCTCAGCGAGCTATGGAGAGGGCTATACTCGGAGTTTCTCTGCGTGATAAACTTAGGAATGAGGATATCCGCAGTAGAACCAGAGTAACCGACATAGCCCAACGGATTAGTAAGCTGAAGTGGCAATGGGCCGGCCATATAGCTCGAAGAACCGACAACCGATGGGGAAGAAAGGTTCTCGAGTGGCAGCCTCGTACCGGTAGGCGAAGTGTAGGGCGTCCCCCCACGAGATGGAGTGACGACCTGGTAAGACATGCAGGAAGTCGATGGATGCAGGGGGCTCAGGACCGTGCTTTGTGGCATTCTTTGGGGGAGGCCTATGTTCAGCAGTGGACTTGTGAAGGGCTGTAATGATGATGATGATGATGATGATATTCTCTAAATTAGAAAGCTTATGAGTTTTTCAATAGTCAGTCTAAGTCTTACTTTATAGGATGCCTCTTTTAAGATTATTACTTATAACGCACTTACCCTGATTACTGACGAGAAGATCCTGGAGTTGGAAGAAGACATGTTGCGCTGGAATATCATAGGATTATTCGAGGTCCGAAGAGAGGGGAACACGGTAATGCTCGAATCCGGCAACTTGTTCTATCACCGGAAGGGCGACCATCTGTCCCAAGGACGTGTCGGATTTATCGTGCACAAGTCTCTCGTTAACAACGTTGTAAAGATTGGGAGTGTGTCGACGAAGGTTATTCTTATACTCAGAATCACCAAACGGTATTCGCTGAAGGTCATATAGGTTTACGCACCAACCTCGGCACACCCCAATGCGTAGGTGGAGGAAATGTATGAGGACATCTCTAGAGCCATGAATTCCTCCAAAACCCACTATACGGTGTTAATGGGAGACTTCAACGCAAAACTAGGCACAAGAGAGAACGATGAGCTGAAAGTAGGGAAATTCGGAATAGAGCAACGGAACCCAAGGGGCCAGCAGCTGGCCGACTTCATGGAGAAAGAGGGACTCTTTATGATGAACTCTTTCTTCCAGAAGCGGCCCCACAGAAATTGGACCTGGTGGAGCCCTGACGGTTCGACAAAAATGAGATTTCATTATGACGACCAGACGACAACTGTTCAGTGATGTCTCAGTGATCGCGAGGGTGAAAACTGGCAGCGATCACCGAATGGTGAGAGGCACACTGAACCTAAACGTTAAGTTGGAAAGGTTACGTCTAGTGAAATCAACGTTCCGTCTCCCTCGTGCTCTAATCCAAAGTCCCGAAACCTTTTAGCTTGAGCTACGAAACCGTTTTCAGCGCCTAGAAGATTTCAATGCAGTGGATGATATGAATGACCAGCTCGTGGAAACTGTCCATGCGGTCGGACCTTAGTTTTGCAAGACCCGCCGCAGAAGAACACAAAAACTCTCCGATCAACCTATTAATCTCATGGCTGTTAGACGGGATGTGAAGCTGCAGTCTTCAGTAGATTTGACAGCATACTGGCAACTGAACAGACAGATCTCCAAATGCATGCGGCGGGACTTACGCAACTTTGATACTGCTTGTATTGAAGAAGCGATCGAGCGGAACCAGGGCTCCAAAGTCTTTGCTAGAAATCTGTCTGCCAGAAAGAGCCAACTTTCTAAGCTGAAGATCGAGTGTGGCAGCGTCGTTTCCGGGACACCTGACATTTTGAGTGAGGTTGGAGCCACACGTAAGTGTGAGTAACGATCCAAGAGCGAGTCTTCTCCGAAACTATTCCGATGATATCCCGGACGTCAGTCTGAGCGAGATTAGAATGGCTCTCCAGCACCTTAAAAACGGCAAGGCCCCAGGCGAGGATGGAATTACAGCGGAGCTTCTGAAAGCGGGTGGAAAATCGGTACTTGAAGTCCTTCAAAAGCTCTTTAATTCCTTCCTCCATGGTGACATTATACCGGAGGCGTGTAGCAGAAGAGAGGTGGTCTTGTTCTTCAAGAAAGGTGACAACGCTCTCTTGAAGAACTACAGACCGATTTTCCTTCTGAGCCGCGTCTACATGCTGTTTTTGAGAGTCATTACGAATCGTTTCGCGCGCAGACTTGACGACTTCCAGCCTCCCGAACAAGCCGGTTTCCGAAAAGACTTTAGCACCATAGACCTCATACATACCCTTGGGCAAATTGTACAGAAGTTAGACGAGTACAATTTGCCACTGTCTGACGTATGTGGACTATGAGAAAGCCTTTGATTCCGTCGAAATTTGGGCGGTGCTGTAGTCCCTTCAGCGGTGCCAAGTTGACTGTCGGTATATCGAAGTGCTGAAGTGCTTGTACAGTAGGGCTACGATGGCTATCCGAGTACAGAACCAGAGTACGAAACCTATCCAATTGCAGAGAGGTGTAAGACAGGGTGACGTTATATCCCCGAAACTGTTCACCGCTGCATTGGAAGACATTTTCAAGGTTCTGGACTGGAAAGGATGCGGTATTACCATCAATGGCGAGTACATCACTCACCTTCGATTTGCCGACAATATAGTCCTTATGGCAGAATCGCTGGAGGACCTAAGCACTATGCTCAATGACCTCAATAATGTTTCCCAACGGATAGGTCTAAGATGAACATGGACCAAACAAAGATCATTTTTAATGTCCATGTCAAACCTATGCCGGTAGTTGTTGGGAGCACTAAGCTCGAAGTTGTTGACGAGTATGTTTACCTGGGACAAATAGTCCGACTAGTTAAGTCCAACCTCGACCGAGAGGTCAATCGACGGATTCAACTCGGTTAGGTAGCGTTCGGGTAATTACGTAAATTATTATCTTCTCGTTAGGTATACCTCAAAACTTGAAAAAGTGACTGTACAACCAGTGCACGTTGCCAGTGATGACCTATGGAACTGAGACGTGGTCCTTCACTGCTGGCCGGATAAGGAAGCTCAAGGTCGCTTAGCAAGCTATGGAGAGGGCTATGCTCGGAGTTTCTCTGCGTGATAAACTTAGAAATGAGGATATCCGCAGTAGAACCAGAGTGACCGACATAGCCCAACGGATTAGTAAGCTGAAGTGGCAATGGGCCGGCCATATAGCTCGAAGAACCGACAACCGATGGGGAAAAAAGGTTCTCGAGTGGCAGCCTCGTACCGGTAGGCGAAGTGTAGGGCGTCCCCCCACGAGATGGAGTGACGACCTGGTAAGACATGCAGGAAGTCGATGGATACAGGTGGCTCAGGACCGTGCTTTGTGGCATTCCTTGAGGGAGGCCTATGTTCAGCAGTGGACTTGTGAAGGGCTGTAATGATGATGATGATGACTTTTTAGATATTTTGCCGAATGGCACACTAACCATCCAAATAAAGAGGTTTACTTCGACTGTTAATCAATTAAGTTATATATTATCGATAATAGTGTTGCCTTGTTTCAGATCTGCTCTGTTGCAAGAGCTCGAGAGAAGAAGACGTGCAGTGACATATCACACACATCCCAACTACTGATCTTATATTATCGCCTTATTGAGCTGTGATTTTAATCATAAGTGATATTTTGTGTAATGTGATGTTAGATATTTACGTATGCATTCGTATTTGCCTTAAACGTTGATATATTTAAGGATAATTTATTAATTTAATAGTTATAAACTTTTACAATGTTCTCAATATAGTTCCAAATATTAACTTATGTCTCTACTATTATTGTATTTCAAAATTATATATTTGTATTTGAAAAAAAAATCTATGAATTGTAAGAATCAGGGTTTATAGTAACACGACTAAATAATTTAAGCTGATATTTATGGCACTTTTAAATTATCTACTTGACTTCTATGAAGGTTACTTTCCTTAAACTGATCATCGACAGGATTTTGCACTAAGTTTTTTTTTAAAATACTAATTAAAATGAAATAATATCATTATTATATTTATCAATTTTACCATTGTAAAGAGAGCAAAATCTCTTTTTTAAGAAATTCATATTCTTTATAAGAAATTTTATATTCAGACTGGTGTTTTATAAAAGCACTTTTGAATGAAGAGATTGGTGAATTTCAACTATTAAACCGAAATAAATTTTCTTGTTATATTTATTAAAAAGCTGCGTGGGATCCCATACCGATCCCATATCGTGGACGTCGTAATAGTCAAATTTAGGATATACCAAGATCTTTTGACCTCTGATATAAGGTACGTTGGGGTAAGATCGGTGATGGGGCAAGACCGTAGGATTCAAATTCCCGGCGAATTATGCTATATTTTGAAAAGCTAACAATATGCTACACGACGCCATTTCATCCTGCCCCGACCCTCAGTTCGCGCCAGTCACTCCGGCAAGCGGGACCTGTGCTGCGCGGCATTTTATAAAACAATGTAATTTTTGTATTATTTTTGTCCATCCGATCTTTCCCTATCACTTTTATTTACGATTTTTAGCGAGAATATGGCTTCTTTTGTTATTATTTTGTGTGGATACTAATTTTTATGAAGTTATAGCTAAATAAAGCTGGTCCATGCAGGGGTAAGATCGCTGTAGGCCGAGATCCGATGTTTCCCCTCGTGAGTGAAGATCGGATGAATATTATCCGATCTTTGCCTGTTACAAATATGGCAGTGGTTGTTAAACTTTCATTGGTCGTGTATATTTTTTCGTTCATTACTCAAGTGACTATGGGACTCAGTCTCGTTAGCAAGTCTGTATATTTAAAAGTAATAAAACAATACGATGGTTTTATTACTTTTAAGTACACATTAAAATACATTTTTTTATAGGATAACGGTGACAAAGGAGCACACAGTCCACCTGATGTTAAGTGATTGCTGCGGCCCATAGACATCTATATCTATCCTCTATTACAAATCAAAATGTAATTTATAATAATTATTTAAAAAATAATTTATAATTATAAATGCCGCTTTGTTAAAATATTTATATCTTCCTTAACTCCTGCATTATCCCAGGGCATTTCGCCAGTCCTTACTGTTATTTTTTTTCCATATAAAATCAAATGCATCCGATCTTTCTCTTATATTGAGTAATTCCATCTTATGTCATAACACAGTTTGAGAAACATAAAATTACAATTTCTTTATATCAGGGATAAGATCGGATGGCAAGAAACAAAAAAAGAGAAAATCGTTTGGAACATTTATGTTTCTAGTAATTTATAGATCATATTGAAATATGTTTTTGAGCATTAAAGATAGGACAAATCTTTTTTATAAACTTTTTTCTCTAAGCAGTAGAAGTGGTTTTAAATTTAAGTCCGGTCTTACCCCTTAATGGCCAATTTTTCATTATGCATATAAAAAAGTATGTCTAGTTTTCGCACACCTTTAAAGCAGAAACCGTTGAGTTTATACAAGCAAAAGATTCTCAGAGCTAAACTACGTTTAACGATTAACGGTTTGCTCCATGTTCCATAAATCTGACGTATACGAATGTCGAGAAATTAAAGTTTTTGGCAGACTCTTCCAACTATTCGAAAATCCGTCCGGTATTACCCCAACGTACCTTATGTCAATAAACATCTCGTATATGCCAGATTTAATTTTAATTCCATACCGCCTAAAAGGTGTGTGATGTGTGGTACGCAAACGCTGATCTGCTTATTCTAGATAGTCTTTCTATGGAACAGGCACACACATATCTAGCAGTAGACTGTTGTCAAGCTCATGATGATAAAACAGTGATTTTACTCTGTCAAGTACATACATTATTTTTTCTAAATAATTTTTTCTATTTTGCTTATTTTTTATGATTAGGATAGGTGCTAGTTTTTTCTATAGAAGTGAAGGTGACAAATGAGCACACAGTCCTCCTGATAGATAACTGAATGCTAAACCATACACACCTACAACTATCCTCAATTAAGTATTAAAATGCAGATGTGTTGTCATCCCTGAGGACTAAAATGGAATGCCTCGTTATTAGTAAAAGGGTTTCCGTTCTCGTCACTCATCTTGCGAAACAGCAACATGCTACTATTCCATGCTGGTAAAAGTAAAAAAAAAATTGGTAAATCCGATTAGGCATGCCCTAAGCGTATTAAAAAAACTACATATAACATTATTATACGGAATTTTTAAAAGTAGCTTAAATACATTTCGACAGCACTATCGGACCCTCGATAAACCATGAAAATGACACCCATGATGAGAAAATTGATACCTAATTCAGCCGCTATCTTGGATTTACATTTCGACAGTACTATCGGCTTCAACACCCTCGAAACCTATGAAAATGACACCCATGATGAAAAAATTGATACCTATTGCAGCCGCCACCTTAGATTTACATTTCGACAACACTATCGGCTTCAACACCCGCGAAAGCCATGAGAATGACACCCATGATGAAAAAATTGATACCTATTGCAGCCGCTATCTTGGATTTACATTTCGACAGCACTATCGGCTTCAACACCCTCGAAAACCATGAAAATGACACCGAAGATGAAAAAATTGATACCTATTGCAGCCGCCATCTTGGATTTACATTTCGACAACCCTATCGGCTTCAACTCTCGAAAACCACGAAAATGACACGCATGATGAAAAAATTGATGCCTATTGCAGCCGCTATCTTGGATTTACATTTCGACAGCACTATCGGCTTCAACACCCTCGAAAACCATGAAAATGACACCGAAGATGAAAAAATTGATACCTATTGCAGCCGCCATCTTGGATTTACATTTCGACAACCCTATCGGCTTCAACTCTCGAAAACCACGAAAATGACACGCATGATGAAAAAATTGATGCCTATTGCAGCCGCTATCTTGGATTTACATTTCGACAGCACTATCGGCTTCAACACCCTCGAAAACCATGAAAATGACACCGAAGATGAAAAAATTGATACCTATTGCAGCCGCCATCTTGGATTTACATTTCGACAACCCTATCGGCTTCAACTCTCGAAAACCACGAAAATGACACGCATGATGAAAAAATTGATGCCTATTGCAGCCGCTATCTTGGATTTACATTTCGACAGCACTATCGGCTTCAACACCCTCGAAAACCATGAAAATGACACCCATGATGAGAAAATTGATACCTAATTCAGCCGCTATCTTGGATTTACATTTCGAAAGTACTATCGGCTTCAACACCCTTGAAACCTATGAAAATGACACCCATGATGAAAAAATTGATACCTATTGCAGCCGCCACCTTAGATTTACATTTCGACAACACTATCGGCTTCAACACCCGCGAAAGCCATGAGAATGACACCCATGATGAAACAATTGATACCTATTGCAGCCGCCATCTTGGATTTACATTTCGACAACCCTATCGGCTTCAACTCTCGAAAACCACGAAAATGACACGCATGATGAAAAAATTGATGCCTATTGCAGCCGCTATCTTGGATTTACATTTCGACAGCACTATCGGCTTCAACACCCTCGAAAACCATGAAAATGACACCGAAGATGAAAAAATTGATACCTATTGCAGCCGCCATCTTGGATTTACATTTCGACAACCCTATCGGCTTTCAAAAACCACGAAAATGACACGCATGATGAAAAAATTGATGCCTATTGCAGCCGCTATCTTGGATTTACATTTCGACAGCACTATCGGCTTCAACACCCTCGAAAACCATGAAAATGACACCCATGATGAGAAAATTGATTCCCAATTCAGCCGCTATCTTGGATTTACATTTCGACAGTACTATCGGCTTCAACACCCTCGAAACCTATGAAAATGACATCCATGATGAAAAAATTGATACCTATTGCAGCCGCCACCTTAGATTTACATTTCGACAACACTATCGGCTTCAACACCCTCGAAAGCCATGAGAATGACACCCATGATGAAAAAATTGATACCTATTGCAGCCGCTATCTTGGATTTACATTTCGACAACCCTATCGGCTTCAACTCTCGAAAACCACGAAAATGACACGCATGATGAAAAAATTGATGCCTATTGCAGCCGCTATCTTGGATTTACATTTCGACAGCACTATCGGCTTCAACACCCTCGAAAACCATGAAAATGACACCGAAGATGAAAAAAATTATATCTATTGCAGCCGCCATCTTGGATTTACATTTCGACAGCACTATCGGCTTCAACAACCTCAAAAACCATGAAAATGACACCCATGACCAAAAAATTGATACTACTTACTTTTAGAACGTACTACTATTATTTATTCTGTGCTTTTAAAATATTGTAATAAAAAATCTCATTATTATTATAATCAAGTATTTAGAAATTTGGTTATTCGAATATTGTGTATTTGTACAGCGATCTTTTTGAGCCGCTGCAAACAACCGTAACAATGTCCACTCACGACGGCGACTCATCGGGGGGCACGGTAGTGCCCCCGCCAAGTCGAGCGCGAAGCAAACACTGCCGTACCATCCTTTACTGGAACCATTTCGCCGCATTTTCAGGCCCCTATTTGAGAACCTCCGGATAAGACCAGAAAGCAAAAATTTTCGTCATCTAGTAAACTATAATGACGTAC